AGATTTAGATAGCTACTGAAATCAGGAAGTGATAGCACTTCTCAACACTATGTACCTATAATCTAACCACAAATCAAATATATGCCCTTAGAGTTGTGAGGCAATGTGTTTGGTCTCTGGTTTGATTACTCGTACGTCATACTAGGAATTCTGATACCACAATGCAACAACTATATGGCAAACACAATTTTCAATCTCTATTAATCTAAAGTCAGCTCGTTCTTTTAACTACGAAGTTAATAAACTTAGCAGTACGAAAGTTTATGCAAATTGTGCTGTTTTTATGAGTTTAAAAAGACAATGATCAGGGTAAAAACCCATTGTATACTTGTGTCGTTATTATTATAGTTACTTATAATCAATTATGAATAAACACTCATCAAATTTGATAATCTCTTGAATAATTGTTCTAAAAACTTTAAGTCAGTTGATGTTGAAGTCTCATCTTTTTAATTTGTATGTGATGTATTAAATCAAATGTAGTAAAGTTATGTAAGTGATACGTCTCAAAAAATCTAATTTTAAGAAACTGAAAGCTGAGAAAACTTTGTTTAAAAAGATGAATTATGCTAAACACATTATTTAATGTGGATAAAAGTCACTCATTTAAAGATTCATATTGTTGTTTTAATTATGATATATATATAACTATTATTATTATTATTAATGGTGAAAAATGTGAAAAAAGATCTAAATCTATACAACTTTTCAATTAGAGACATGTTTAAGAATACGGGTTATTGACTAGGTCAACTCTAACAACCTCTTCGTCACAGAGTATATTTGCTAGGTAAGGTATTATAAAACTTTTATACCTTTGCTTACGTGCATGGATTATAATGTATTTACGTTTCGTTGTACCAGAAGATATACAAGAAGATATGAATGAGGGGGGTGATTAGTATCTGATAAAATAACATCTGCCAGGAGTTTGCAGGACTTTAGGTGTCTATCTACAATCATATTAATAATGACCTCAAAAGATCCAGTTATTAGGTTATAATGATTTTACGAGAATATTTGTTGAGATTATAATCTATGGATGATTTTTGAATGATTGTTAAGTGGCCTTGATAATGTCTACCTACTTACTAAGGTTAAATGAGCACTAAAAATTGGTGTAAGGAGCTGAGATTTAAATGTACAGTTAGTCGTTATTGTAAGAAATCAAAATTAAAGTTTCCATCATGAAATAACATCAACCATAAAGCCAAAATGCTATTTACCCATATGGATAAATGAATTTTGCACCTGAATCCAAGATCTTGTATCTTGAATCTGATTGGTTTGTTCGTAAATTAAAGTCTTGCTGTTACGTTTATATGGTTTTTTCAGATCATAAATCAAAATCAAATATATTTTGACAATTGTTTATAAGGTTTGCAAAATGCAGTGATATCACGATCTTGTGAATTTTAAGCTGTTTGAAAGAAGTAACGAAACAGATACTTTGAGATATGTTGTTCTATGATTCAGGTGAAATATATTTTATTCAGTTACAGTAATGAATATTATGACTACCATAATGTAAGTTAAAATCACTATATGTCACGAAGTTTTTGCAACCTGTAGAATACTTTGGAAATTTTTCACCATAAAATATGGAATCAACAAATTAACCGTTTATGCTACTCATGAAGTATGATTTTGAAATAGTTATACGATAGTTAACTTCATTGGTCGACCTAAGCTAAACCGCTATTGAAAACTTGAAAACCTTGGACGGCCGTTTCATCCTAGTACGGGACTTTTTAGTAGTGCGCATCTACTGTCTCTCATGAGAGACTTGAATCTAAGACAGTGTGTCTCGCACTCGAACGCTTAACCTCTGGATCACTGAGCCGGCACCCAACGGTGTTAATCTCTTACTTCAATCAATCTACGATCTTGTGCAATTTTTCGTCCATTGTCTGAGGTGGATAACTGTCTCATACCCGACACGATTAGACCCCATTGATCACTGCTTCTCACGGCTGTCTAGCGCTTCCAGGTTTTCAGTGGTGGTCCAGCTTACATTGACTCGTGGATTCAATTGTTAAAAAATATACTACAATCTTCACAAATCGCCATACCGATATACAGTAGTTGTACACTTACATCATGCAACTTTAAGGATAAGAGATTCGGATTATTCTGTGATACATATAGATGAAATAAATGATTTCATCATTATAGTTTGACTAATACACTGTGGAATGAACCCATTTTGTTAGATGAAACTTACTGATCAATATATGAATGAAGCGTCAGTGTTATTAATCTAGGAACTAATTATTTTATGTTTTAGTCCCTTAAGGAAATAATTGGAAAGCTGGTTTAACAGAGATTTATATAACCACTCTTTAGCATATTTCATTTGAAATGATTTCTACAGTTTGTTTTAGTGATTGATAAAAAAATCATTTAGACCTTATCATGTTAGACTGTACTAAGTCGTTTGTTTTTCTGAAATTAATAGTTGTTTATGACAATGACAGATATCCATTGTGTCATTGAAAGAGAAAGACAATTTATCAAACAAAATTCTGTTTTCGACAATTTCATTTACTTAAAATATACAACTATACTCATAGTTAATTCATTTGTTAAAAATAGTAGCTTAATTGTTCATCAAATAGAATATGGAGAGAATGTATACTTCTAGTTGAAGTAGATTTTGTATTATGTAAATTGAATTAATCCATTTTTAAAATAATCCTTATCAATGTTCACTTTTATTACATTATTCTTACAATTTTCACATAACCAAGTTAAATGTTGGTATCATCCACTGATACTTATAACTGAAGATTGTGAAATATTATATCCCAATAGTTGAAATCACTAGTCAGTTGGAGCTGGACAACCATGGAAAACCTGGAAGCACCGGACAGTCTTTTCAGCCCGGTATCCGAGTCTTCAGTAGTGCTCATTTACGATCTTGCCCCGTAGGTTTCGAACCCAGGACCTATCAGTCTCACGTGAGAACGCTTAAACTCTAGTCCACGGAACCGACATCAAACGGTGTTAACGTCTAACTTCAAACAATCCACGAAATTGAGCCACACATCCACCATTGTCTTAAATGAGTTACTATCTCACAACAGACGTGGTTGAACTCCACTTGTCACTGCATCTCACTGGAACCCCAGATCTAGCTTCAATTGACCCATGATTTCAACTATCAAAATTACTAAAATCTCCACAAAACCCTTTCTGAAAATATTATATCTATCAAACAAGAGGTTATGTGATGCATATTATAAATGTTTGACCTAAGAGACATATTGAAACTATGAGTAAACGATATCGTAAACACAAACTATTTCGACAGAACAGCTCATTGATTTGATGAATATTATCCATATTTTTAAAGTACCCTCGTTTGTTTCATTACAAATGTTTAACTTGATAATTTTACAAAACTTCAGAAAATTAAAGAAAACTTAATTTTTCTATTGATTAGGATGTTACAAATATATTATTTTTCTACTGGATTTTCTTTTGTCTGATCAAGAATTATCGGAAAAGTTTAATCCTTACGCTTAATTTCATAGTACTCTCAACTTTACCGCTTCAGATTAATATATACTGTTGATATCAGTCAATAAACAATCGTTTGAATAACATTGAAAAGTGCTTGTTAGTGAAAACGTTCATATTTAGAGTGATCCAAAGTATCATTTATTGATTGAACTAATATAAATCAATAAACTAATCATCCGTTCCATAAGTATTTGTAAAAGTAACAAGGTGTTTCCTAAATTATTCGTGTTTTATGAGTTTACTTGTATAAACACAATTATGATGATGCCATAAGAAGTTCTAAATGAATTTTTTGATTTATACTTAGTTAAGGCAGATGTAATAGTTGTTCATTTGGTAGAATCACGCAATTTATTTTGTAAAATAATAAAAATAAAATAATGTCGGAGATGGATTTTTGTGGATATTATAGTAATTTAATAGCTAAATTCATGAATCAATCGAAGCTAGACCACCATGGAAAATCTGAAAGCACTGGACGGCTGTTTTGTCCTATTGTGGAACTCCTCAGCAGTGCGCAGCCACGATCCCTCACCGTGGGATTTGAAACCAGGGCCTATCGATATTGTGCGCTAGCGTTTAACCTCTAGACCAATGAGCCGGCATTCAACGGTGTCAATATATTTCTTGGAGTTCCAGTGAGATGCGGTGACAAGTGGAGTTCAACCACGTCTGTTGTGAGATAGTAACTCATTTAAGACAATGGTGGATGTGTGGCTCAATTTCGTGGATTGTTTGAAGTTAGACGTTAACACCGTTTGATGTCGGTTCCGTGGACTAAAGTTTAAGCGTTCTCACGTGAGACTGATAGGTCCTGGGTTCGAAACCTACGGGGCAAGATCGTAAATGAGCATTACTGAAGACTCGGATACCGGGCTGAAAAGACTGTCCGGTGCTTCCAGGTTTTCCATGGTAGTCTAGCTTCAATTGGCTTATGATCTCGACTATTAAATTAAAAATGTATTAGCCAACTGTTAAGCTAAATATGGATTCGTCATACAACGTGTTTGTTTATTTTAAGGAGTAATTAGAACTTTTTTAAAAAGTCAGAATATACACATACGAATAATGTAATGTAATTTAGATGTGTGATTTAAGAAATGATCGGCAAATCAAATTAATGATTTCATCAACATTGTAGTTTATTTTGATAAGAAATAATAGGTGAACAAAAATATATGAATCACCATATAATTTAACACCACTATTATGAAGAATAAAGAATATTTACATTTACCACAAGACATTATAACTGAATTGTCATTTTAATCGTTTTCTTCTATTAATGAATGTTTGAAGTTGAATTAACTTCGAATTCTAGCTTGAACTATAGTTGTTTAAAACTTTTTAAATTACTTTAGAGAATAAAACCTACACAAACATTTGTTACTTGAATTCCATGAGGCAAACATTATCGTTTTTCTAAACCTTGATCCTTACATATTTATTATATGCATAAAACTAAACGCTTTAGCTTAAGGTTTTGATTTTTTTGATCCATTAATTAATGTTTTAATTGAGAATTTATCTTTTGCCAAACCATTTGTGGATGATGATGATGATGATGATGATGATGATGATGATGATGATGATGATGATGATGATGATGATGATGATGATGATGATGATGATGATGATGATGATGATGATGATGATGATGATGATGATGATGATGATGATGATGATGATGATGATGATGATGATGATGATGATGATGATGATGATGATGATGATGATGATGATGATGATGATGATGATGATGATGATGATGATGATGATGATGATGATGATGATGATGATGATGATGATGATGATGATGATGATGATGATGATGATGATGATGATGATGATGATGATGATGATGATGATGATGATGATGATGATGATGATGATGATGATGATGATGATGATGATGATGATGATGATGATGATGATGATGATGATGATGATGATGATGATGATGATGATGATGATGATGATGATGATGATGATGATGATGATGATGATGATGATGATGATGATGATGATGATGATGATGATGATGATGATGATGATGATGATGATGATGATGATGATGATGATGATGATGATGATGATGATGATGATGATGATGATGATGATGATGATGATGATGATGATGATGATGATGATGATGATGATGATGATGATGATGATGATGATGATGATGATGATGATGATGATGATGATGATGATGATGATGATAGGTCTCAGATAATCATCTCAGTTTTTGGCTAATGGAAATCCTATTGCAACCAACCTAATGATCATCATACAAATACATGGATAGCCTACCTATTCCGCCCTTCAAATGAAAAGCCGTTGAATTATATCTGAAATTAGCATAAGTCCGATTATGCAAATTCTATGCATATTAAGTGAATGGGTTTTACTTTCAGAATTTACTGTTTTGTATCAGGTTTTATAGTATGTTCGAATTCAGTGTAGTCAAAAATGATAGTTTGTTTTTCTAATACAGAAAATTACTTGGTAGTGACTACTATTATTGTAATTATTATGCATACTAGATATATTTAGATTTCTTACTCTGGATAAACCTTCAAATTTACCTTCATATATTCTATTTGTTTCTATTCCACAACTAAAACGCAATAAACTTGAAAGCATGATACTTTGTTGTATTCTCATATGAAAGCAGTTATTAATTAATAATAATTTAGAATTATGCTACTTCTATAATCGTATCATGCCTAATTAACAACAGGGTACAAATACAATTAAACAACGTGTCAATTCCAAGTCTACAGGTATTCATCTGCGACTTGAAATAATGAATATTTTAATAAATAAGTGTTTAAGAATTGATAAATATTTTTGGTATGTTTATAAACTATTGGTCGACCACGTTCTTAGTTGAGGTGACAGCTATAAATTTCTTTATTCAGTCATCGGCATTCACTTTATCTAGTTTTCATGTTGTTTTAAAATATTATTTTTACAAGCTGCTTAAAATAATGTAATCCATTTTCTATATGAAACCATTTGTATTTGTATTAGTTACGTCATATATTTAATGGAATCAGTAATATTAAATTCAGCAACTGAAGGTTATACTACGAACAGAAGTTACATAAACCTACTTATTGATGACATGTAAGATGGAATCTACTACTTAATTTCATATGTTCAATACTGACACTATATCTTCCTGACTTTACAAATGACGCTTTGTTAACATCGATGCAGCCAAAGATTTTGTGAGTTATACACTCGTATATATATATATATATATATATATATATATATATATATATATATATATATATATTGCACCATGGAACGGTCACTCATCCATAATCTTAAACACGAATTATTTGTGCTAGGACAACTTACACCTCAAGATTTTGAAAAATATTCCATTGAAATCGTTTATTAAAAATCATTTTGTCAAATTTCGTATTACAATCCAACAATCGCTATTAAGCATGCCTCCAGAAGTTTACTTCACCATATAGTTCTCTTTTTATCACCGCAACATTTTAAGTTACGGATAAAAAATGATATTAGATTACGTGAAAATTGATTCAATGGTACACCAAACATTAAAGTTGGATTTAAGACGACAGTTGATACATAGATACCATTTTTTAATGGATCATTTGTAAACAAATCTGTTTACTGTTCGAATATACTTTCAGATGGTGATTGCTGTCTCCTGAGTGATACCATACAACTAGCCTTCTTCATGTGTTGAAAAAGAGTACTGTTTCCAAACGTTCAATATACTTTAACCAAAAGCTGAATAATGTATTTTTTGGAGCTGGGAGGCAGAGTTCCTTTGTTAGTATTATATGTCTAAAGAAAGACCTACGTTTAGTATGGTTTCAGAACAAACAATAAATTATTTAGATTTTAGCTCTCAATAGATTACAGTGAACTCACCCATACAGAGTGATGATATTGATCGTATAAGAATGGGGTTTGCGTCAATTTACTTATCATATATGATCACATTTGTTTAAACGTTTCGATGTCAGTTTGAAGTCAGACAGTTGATACATTTGTTTTTAAACCTAATATATACATAAAGAAGGAATAAATTGCATTTACGAGCGTAAAAGCATCCCTATGACTCAGTTTTGTATTGTTGAATGGATCCTAACTATAAACCCCGTCAAAGATTTACTACGTAAAGTAACGGAGATTCTTAGCATTGTCATGAGACCGCAACTAAGATGCCAGTTTGTGAGTAAAATGATGGGTTGTACTTGGAAATGAATATTGCAACGGTAGACAACTGATGAATAATAACTCTTTTTACATCATGTTAATAAACACTACGACCGCCTGAATTTTACAGTGATCTGTTTAGCAATAATATGTAATCTTTTTCTATATGTGCGTAGTGATAATAAAGTTGTTCAACATAACTGGTTAATTAACAATTCACTCGTTGAAATAATCAGACGGTTAGAATACAAACGTGGTTTTTATTATTAAAAATTATGTCTTTAAAACAAAATCAAATGCAACAATTTCTTCAAGATTCTCAGCGGAATACGCATCATACAGAAATCACGCACTTTTACATTGAAAAAACACTGAACCAGATGATTTCAGCGTACATAAGAAATTGATTTAATAAAATACAGATTCATAAATGGATCCTTATTAATGTAATTCGCTTTTCTTTTGCAGATGTCATGAACTGATTGTTAAAGAAGAAACAAAAATTACACTTTAAACATATCGAATTATTTTAAGAATGAATATCTAAAAGCTTTTAGTGTAAATGCCTAGTGAAAATTCAGAATACAGGCGAATATATAATTTATACCGATGAAAATTGCAGAGGGTTGAAAGATAAACATAGTCACGTAGGGCTTTTCATTTAATACAGTTTTATTGTATTTTCAGTGTTTCGACTTTGAGCATCAGTTTGGAAATATTGTGTCAGAATAAAGCGTCTTAAAGTAATCGTATATTTACAATGTAATAAAGCAGTCTGTGTAGAGTAGCACAGGAATATTACTTAGAAGAAGCTGATGTATTCACAGAGTATTTATCTAAATACGTATTTTATTTTCAGAAAATTCTAATATAAAAGAAAGTGTTATAGATACGTTAGTAAAAATGTATTGACAATACTCTTGTAGGTTGTCGTTTATTCAATAGTTTCAAGTGTCAACCAAAACGATAAATATAGAAGAGCTAGGTATTTTATGAATAGATGTGCGACAACTATGCTACAAACATTACAAACACTGGTTTGAACATTACTACTGTCCACTGAAATTGTTGCAAAAAGGACTGATCATTAGTGTTACCAAAAAGTACTTCGACGTACAAAATATGTTTTTGTACAATACATGGCTGGATGGAACGTGTAGAATTTGATTCATATTAAAATCACTTAAGTCAGTGTCTTTTACCATAATACCGTCTGTAGGTTGATTCTTAAGTTCAGCAATATTGAGGAGGAGCAAGTTTGTCTTGTTGTTATAAGGTCGGTTCTTCTCACCTTAGAGATGACAAAACTCAAACATTGTGTGAGATTATAAATATGTAGCTCATTGAATGGTTTTATCATGTAGGAAAATTGAAATGTATCATAACATATGATTAAAATTTTATCCAAATATTTGAGAATGTCTACGTGATATCAATCTGAGCCCAACAATCTTCACAACCCTATACTAATAATGACATGAGCTCACCAGTGACTGGCTTCGAAATGAATTTCCTGAAGTTCTAGTAAGAAACTGTGACCAATAGAGTTCATCCGTGTTTGTTGTGAGATAGTTATTCACTGAAGACAATGATGGATGTTTCACTCAATTTTGTGGATTGGCTGAAGTTAGACATTAACATCGTCGGATGCCGGCTCAATAGTCCGGAGATTAAGCGATTGTGTGCAAGGCCGAAAGTCTTGGGTTCGAGTTTCGCGTGCAGGATCGTGGATACACACTGTTGAGGAATCCCATACTAAAACTCTTTGGCCATCCAGCGCTTCCACGTCTTCAATGGTGGTCTAACATTGATCCATTCATGATATCAATCTGAGCGTACCAATCTCCACAACCACTTACTGATAAAAATATATGTTGTTGATATTATTGAAACTGAATTTTCATACTTTCTCATGCTTAGATTTCCAGTAAAAATATAAGTAAATAAGCACATTTCAATCATTTCAACAATGTTTACCATAAAACGAAAGATAATTATAAATGAATATTTCTATTCAGAGCTAATTTCATTATATCGATTCATATTGTTATAAAAAACGAAATAACAATTTAAGAGAAAGCCAATGAAATTTAGACAGAAAAGAATGACACATGTTTTCATATACCGAAATAATAGTCAATCAAATGCTTTTGTATATTTGCGCAATACATTTCGAACAATCCGATCACATATATTATGTTGCTATTTAGAGGTGACACAAATACTCTCATGTTGAAACAGAGACTTAAATTAGCCATCAACCGGATATTTTATGCAGCCCAACTTGTCATCATTGAAAAGACAAGGTCTGTGTTTCACTAAAAGCCCAAACAGCACGTGAGCAATTGTATCACATCCCATTGTGTCTATCAATTTACATGTATGTGCGGAAAACATGTACATCGTAATTTGAAATTAAGGGTAGGTGAACACATACCAAAATGAGTGCAGAAGCAAATGAATTCCAATGGTCAAATAAGATCACAGGATAGACAGACATCATCCTCCATTGCGACACATTTGATTGAGACTGGTCATAAGGTTGACATCAGAACAGCATTTGTACTGTTATAAAAAAGCCTTCAAGGACGTATGCTAAGGTTTATTGAAGCCTTGGCTATACAGAAATTGAAACCTCCTTTATGTGTTCAGAAACAATTTGTCCTTACACTTAATCTACCCTGGTAATACTGATTTATTATCCAGTGTGGTAATATTGTTTTTGTGCACTTTATTATTATTATTTCTTACCTTTAACCTATCTAGTTGACTTTTTAATTTTCATATATAAATGTTCTTAACAAGTATATGTGTGATCAGATTGTTCGAAATGTATTGCGCAAATATATCACATAACTCTGATAAACTTAGTCTTCTCATTGCATTATCGAAAGTTATCAAAGGGACTAAATGTTTTAAATAAATACAGTGAAATTCCTTTTATATAAAGAATAAAAAAGTATTGACTGTTTTATGTTAATATATTGATTTAATAAAATGCTTCAAATGATAACGTAAACGATTTACTACTTTTGAATGATTACAGTACTAATAATGTTCTTAAACCATCAGGTGTCGAATTAAAGTACTTTCGGCAAGATCAATCAGATTTAAGATAGCAGGTCTTGAATTTTGGCGCGAAATTCACTCATCCATTTGGTGAAATAGTTTCAGTATCATAGCTGATGTCAGTTTGTGATGAAAACCCTAAATCTAATTTCTAACCTTAACCATCAACTGTAATTATTAATCCTAATTTCTCACACTAATTTATAACCTGCATTCGGTTCTAGTTATCAAGTGTACACTCTCCTTCTTTAATCGCTTCGGAGCTGAGCATTTTAAAAGGTAAAAGTGATCAATCAATTGTGATTACATCTCAGTCCTACAGAAGGTCGGTCGCAGCCCGGATAGCCCAATGATAGCGTCTCTGACTGTGAAGCTGGGTGATACTGGAT